CCCCTCGGGTCTGTGGGGGGGCCTCTCGGGCCTCTCGGGCCTCTGGGGGGGCCCCTCGGGCCTCTCGGGCCTCTGGGGGGGCCTCTGGGGGGGCCCCTCGGGCCTCTCGGGCCTCTCGGGGGGCCCCTCGGGGGGCCCCTCGGGTTCTTCAGGGAGTTCTTCTTCAGGGAGTTCTTCTTCAGGAAGTTCTTCTTCAGGAAGTTCTTCTTCAGGAAGTTCTTCTTCAGGTTGCTGCTGCTGCTGCTGCTGCTGCTGCTGCTGCTCGTCCTCGGCGAGGTTTTCTTCTTTGCTGCTGCCTGCTCTGCTGGGCCTGACCACTGGTCTGGCCCCCGCCGGCCTGCTGCTGCTGCTGCTGCTGCTCGCGGGGAGTCTGCTGCTGCTGCTGCTGCTCGCGGGGAGTCTGCTGCTGCTGCTGCTGCTCGCGGGGAGTCTGCTGCTGCTGCTGCTCGCGGGGAGTCTGCTGCTGCTGCTGCTGCTGCTCACGGGGAGTCTCCCGCTGCCGCTGCCGCTGCTCGCGGAGAGTCTGCTGCCGCTGCTGCTGCTGCCCGCTGCTGGTCTGCCGCTGCTGCTGCTGCCCGCTGCTGGTCTGCCGCTGCTGCTGCTGCCCGCCGCAGGTCTGCTGCTGCTGCTGCTGCTCGCCGCGGGTCTGCTGCTGCTGCTGCTGCTCGCTGCAGGCCTGCTGCTGCTGCCGGCTGCTGGTCTGCCGCTGCTGCTGCTGCCCTCAGATGGTCTGCCGCTGCTGTGGCCTGCAGATGGCCTGTCGCTCGGAGGGCCCCTGCCGGGTCTGCTGCTGCTGCTGCTGCTGCTGCTGCTGCTGCTGTCGCCCCTGTGGTTGCCTTGGCGGCTGCCGCTGCGCACCGCGAGGCGCTGCTGCTGCTGCTGCTGCTGCTGCTGCTGCTGCGGCACGGCTGCTCTAGACCGCGGCCCCGCAGCAGCTCTCTTGGGCTGCTCCGGCTTCGACTCTGAAGACCTTTTTGCAGACTCCTTAGGGGCCTCCTTGGGGGCCCCCCCCTCCTTGGGGGCCCCCCCCTCCTTGGGGGCCCCCCCCTCCTTGGGGGCCCCCCCCTCCTTGGGGGCCCCCCCCTCCTTGGGGGATTCCTTGGGGCCCCCCTCCTTGGGGCCCTCCTTGGGGCCCTCCTTGGGGCCCTCCTTGGGGCTCTTGGGGGCCTCTTTGGGGTCCTTGGGGGCCTCCTTGGGGCCCTCCTTGGGGCCCTCCTTGGGGCCCTCCTTGGGGGCCTCCTTGGGGGCCTTGGGGGCCTCCTGGGGGCCCCCCTGGCCCTCGCGCTCGACTAAGTGCCTGCGGCCAAAGAAGAGGCCCTGGGGGGCCGGGGGGCCCCTCAGGCTGCTGCTGCTGCTGCTGCTGCTGCTGCTGCTGCCGGGCCAGGGGCCCCCTGCTGCAGGCCCGAAGCCGTGGAAGTGGGGGGGGGGC